TTGTTTGTCATTTCTCCGATCACAAATGCAGACATGGTTTTATGTTAATGCCCGATGCAACGCAACGGTTAAAAAGACAGTATAAGTCATTAAAATCCGTAATTATGTCCCCACTGGATGCAACAAATGCCTCGTTTAGAATGGGTTTTAATGTTTATGTCTCATAGCTCCGGCCGGACGGCATCACAATATGGTAAGGGGCGTAACATCTCCGTCACACGCTTGAGGTATTTGGCCAATCACAACTCACTGGATAGCTGGCCAATCAGAGCACACCTCGCTTTTTTAGAACGATGAGCTTTGTAAAAAGTCGACGTGTTTCATAAAGGCGGGGCATAGATAATGTACAATGTACATTATATGGAAAATAATGTGTTTTTTTAACCTTAAACCGCATAAACACATTGCCAAATACACAATACACAACATAATGTTCTTTTTAGCAGCGTCATATGACCCCTTTAAATAATGAAAGCAAACAGGATGCACTTTCTGCCGTCTCGGACTCTGTGAACTTGAGCACGCACACACTTCGAAACTCCGTGTATGCTTGCCTTATTACAGACATGAAAAATATATCTATAGAGTGAAACTTTTAAATTAAAAAAATTAAAATAGAAAACAAATATTCTCAGATTATGTACGATTTAATGTTAATAAAATTCACAATTAATTTCAGTTCATGTCTCAGAATGTGTATTTTTTGTTTGTAATTTCACAGTTGTAATACCATAACGTGAAAGCTAGCCTCCCTTCTGATATCAACCAATCATCAGAGACGTAAATTAAATTTGAACGTCTGCCGCTGTGCTGATAATGTACCAAGTACTAATGATGAGTAGCGATATTGAATATTTGATTGCCAACAGATTTACCAAGCTGTCATTCAAACAGTATATATACAAATTAAAAAAAAAGGGAAAACAGCCTAAGCTGGATATAGGCAACAGCAGACGGCTTAATTAAATGGCGCAACAGGCAGCTCTCTTTTAACACATACTTTTAAGAAGGGATGGATGTTTGCTTTAAGTGATAGGCCAGGTAAGTGAAATTATATTATCTTGCTGTTTGTATGTCGTTTTCTTTACGTTTTCTGACTAAAAGCAACCAAAAAGCCATTTTAAAGTGGTTAAGCAAATAATAATCATAATAATAAT